AGTTCTACTCTATTATGGATTGAATTGTGTCCCCCAAAAATATGTCAACTTGGCTAGTCCATGATTCTCAGTATTGTCCTATGTATTATAAATTCTACCTCTATGATGTTAATAAGGTGGAATTAGAGGCAGTTATGTTAATGAGGCAGGACTCAATCTACAAGGTTAGGTGAGGTCTTAAATCATCCTCTTTTGAGATATAAAAGAGAGAAGTGAGCAGAGGGAAATGGGGACCTTACACCACCAAGAAACCAGACCCAGGAGAATAGCACCTCCTTTAGACCTGGAGTCCCTGTGCTGAGAAACTCCTAGACCAGGGGAAGATTGATGACAAGGACCTTCCCCCAGAGCCACCAGAGACAGAAAGCCTTCCCCTGGAGCTGGCACCCTGAATTCGGACTTCTAACCACCTAGACCATAAGAAAATAGATTTCTCTTTGTTAAAGCCATACACTTGTGGTATTTCTGTTATAACAGCCTAAAACATATTCCAACACACATGGGGTTGCATGGGGTTGCCATGAGTCAGAATCAACTCAACAGCAACTAATAACATCAATGATATCAGTAAAAAAAATTTTGAGGCTATAACCCTAACATACGTATAAAAAAACACATTGCCATCAAGTCAATTCCGACTCATAGCAACCCTATAGGACAGAGTACAACTGCTCCATAGGGTTTTCAAGGAAAAGCTGGTGGATTCGAACTGCCGACCTTTTGGTTAGCAGCCTATCTCTTAACCACTGTGCAACCAGGGCACTAACATAATGTATATTTACTAACAAACAAATCATTTAAATATATTATTTTGAAAATATATTATGCATAAAAAAATATACAAATGCATAAAACAGAATATTTCAAAAGACAGTATATATAAAATAAACAGAATTTTTCATTGTCTTTCTTATAGTGGTGACTTCAGATACTTAGGGCAAGATTCATTTTTAATGAAAAATCTTTATTTTATGTAAAAACCAGAAACCAAACCAGTTACTATCGAGTCAAGACCAACTCATAGTGACCCATGAAAATTTTAGCATTGTTTTGGCCAGATTTGATTTTAATCTCACGTTGTAGCTTATGAGAACCGTGTGTTAGAAATATCTATTTTCCTTTTACTAGTTTTTGTGCTGATGGTTTGCATTATCAGAATCATCTTAAATCTGTATTTTCTTTATGAAATTTTTTAAGCCACTTTTTCACTTGTGAGGGTTAGGTTTGTTCAAACCAGCTAATAGATGGGTAAATAAGCTTAACTCTCACTCTTTCTTTAGGATACTATCTTAGTTACCTAGTGCTGTTATAACAGAAATATCAAAAGTAGATGGCTTTAACGAAGAGAAATTTATTCTCTCACAGTCTAGGAAGCTAGAAGTCCAAATTCAGGGTGCCAGCTCCAAGGAAAGCCTTTCTGTCTCAGTTGGCTCTGGGGGCAGTCCTTTTCATCAATCTTCCCCTGGTCAAGGAGCTTCTCAGCACAGGGACCCTGGGTCCAAAGGACACGCTCTGCTCCCTGTGCTTCTTTCTTGGTGGTATGTACTCCCCATGTCTCTCTGCTCCCTTCTCTCTTTTATATCTCAAAAGAGATTGGTTTAAGACACAACCTAATCTTGTATATTGAGTCCTGTTTCATTAACATAACTTCCTCTAATCCTGCCTCATTAACATCATAGAGGCAGAATTTACAACCCATAGGAAGATCATGTCAGATGACAAATTGGTGGACAATCACACAATACTGGGAATTGTGGCCTAGCCACATTTACAGAAATTTTGGGGGGACACAATTCAATCTATAATAGATATCATGGCTTTCATACATAGTCCTTTCCAGTATCAATCCATTCATGAAATATATGGTATCAATCTGTGGGAAAAGACATTGGAGAAGCTCAATATCATCAGTCAGAACAAGGCTAGGATGGACTGCGGAACAGATCATCGATTGCTCCTATGCAAGTTCAAGTTGAAGCTGAAGAAAATTAAAACAAGTCCACAAGAGCCAAAGTACGACCTGGTATATCCCACCAGAATTTAGAGACCATCTCAAGAATGGCCATATTGAGCACTAATGACTGAACACTAGATGAGTTGTGGGATGACATCAAGGATGTCATACATGAGGAAAGCAAAAGATCATTAAAAAGACAGGAAAGAAAGAAAAGACCAAAATGGATGTCAGGAGAGATTCTGAAACTTGCTTTTGAATGTAGAGTAGCTAAAGCAAATGGAAGAAATGATGAAGTAAAAGAGCTGAACAGAAGATTTCCAAGGGCAGCTAGAGAAGCCAAAGTAAAGTATTATAAGGAAATGTGCAAAGACTTAGAATTCGAAAACCAAAAGTGAAGAACACACTCGGCATTTCCCAAGCTGAAAGAACTGAAAAAAAAATTCAAGACTCGAGTTGTAATTTGAAGGATTCTATGGGTAAAATGTTGAACGAGTCACTGTACCAAAAAGAATTGGTTGACGCTCTACCATTTTAGGAGGTAACATATGATCAAGAACAGATGGTATTCAACGAAGAAGTACAAACTGCCATGAAGGCTTGGGGGTAAAACAAAGCTCCAGAAATTGACGGAATACCAATTGAGATGTTTCAACAAACAGATGCAGCGGTGGAGGTGCTCACTTGTCTATGCCAAGAAATTTGAAAGACAGTTACCTGGCCAACCAACTGGAAGAGATCCATATTTGTACCTATTCCAAAGAAAGGTGATCCAAAGGATGGGCAAATTATTGAACAATATCATCATCACACGCAAGTAAAATCTTGCTGAAGATCATTCAAAACGGTTACAGCAGTACATCGACAGAAACTGCCAGAAATTCAAGCCAGATTCAGAAAAGAACATGGAGCAGGAGATATCATTGCTAATGTCAGATGATCTTGGCTGAAAGCAGAGAATACCAGAAAGATGTTTACCTGTGTTTTATTGACTATGCAAAGGCATTCAACTTTGTGGAGCATAACAAATTATGGATAACATTGCAAAGAATGGGAATTCCAAAACACTTAATTGTGCCCATGCAGAACCTGTACATAGACCAAGAGGCAGTCATTCAAACAGAACAATGGGATAATGTGTGGTTTAAAATCAGGGAAGGTGTGTGTCAGGGTTGTATCCTTTCACCATTCTTAATCAGCCTGTATGCTGAGCAAATAATCTGAGAAATTGGACTATATAAAGAAGAATGCTACCCAGGATTTGGAGGAAGACTCATTAACAACCTGCGATATGCAGATAACCCAAACTTGCTTACTGAAAGTGAAGAGGACTTGAAGTACTTAACTAATGAATATCAAAGACTACAGCCTTCAGTAGGGATTACACTTCAACATAAAGAAAACAAAAATCCTCACAACTAGACCAATAAGCAACATCATGGTAAATGGAGAAAAAATTGAATTTGTCCAAGGTTTCATTTTATTTGGATCAGCACCCATGGAAGCAGCAGTCAAGAAATCAAAATCAAAAATCAAACTGCATTGGGCAAATCTGCTGCAAAAGACCTCTTTAAAGTGTTAAAAAGCAAAGATGTCACTTTGAGGACTAATATGCACCTGACCCAAGCCAGGGTATTTTCAGTCATGTGAAGGCTGGACAATGAATAAGGAAGACCAAAGAAGAATTGATGAGTTTGAATTATGGTGTTGGCAAAGAATATTGAATACATCATGGACTGCCAGAATAATGAACAAATCCGTCTTGGAAGAAATTCAACCAGAATGCTCCTTACAAGTGAGGATGCTGAGACTTCTCTCAAGTACTGTGAACATGTTATCAGGAGGGACCAATGCCTGGAGAAGGACATCATGCTTGGTACAGTAGAGAGTCAGCAAAAAGGAGGAAGACCCTCAACAAGACAGATTAACATAGTGGCTGCAAAAATGGGCTCAAACATAGCAAGGTTGTGAGAATGGTGCAGGACCAGGCAGTGGTTTGTTCTATTGTACATAGGGTCGCTATGAGTTGGAACCAAGTCGATGGCACCTAACAACAACAATCCAAATATGAAATAGCCCATTAAAACCACTGTCAATTGGTATATATCAGCAAAGACTATTTTTGTATGAAAAGTAAATATAAAAATGTAAAAAGTTTCTTCTTTACTCCTCTTTATTTTCTTATGCACCTCACTTTAAAAACAACCATAGTGCTTTCTTTGTAGGGAGAATATTAGTCTAATCATTCTAGACTATCTTACTTTAGGATTCATGAGACCCCAGAATAAATACTAAATTAATATCCTTAACTAGCATCCATTTCATTTGCTTTTATTTCTCACTACAATTTTCTATTATTCAGTTCCTATCCATATTAGTCTTGCCACATCAGCAGATAAAAGTCCCAAAAGCTTGACTCCATCCAGGTCATTAAGGTTGACTCTACTTTGAGAAGGCAGCTCTTCACCAGTCATACTTTCTGTGCCTTCCCCCTTTTGTTCAGTTGTACTCTTACCCCTTTCTTTAAGTTTAAAGGAACATTTTACCTTTTTTTTTTTTTTAATTGGGAGTCTGCAGCATTGCAGTCAGTTGATTGGATATCAGAATCCATGTTGTTTATGTTATTTCCGTGACCCAAGACCTAAGCTAATATAAACCAAAAGTCTGTTTTGTCATCGAAGAGTAGTCAAAACCTGGATTGCTTTTGCATGCCAGCCCAGCCTTAATGACTCGGGTCAAATTACTTTTAGCTTCAATGTCCACTGTTATAATAATACCTAGCTTTCAGGGTTGTTGTGAGAATTTTGTAAAAGAATGGGTGTAAAGAGGCTGGCACGTGCAAAATGCTAAATAAATGGTAGCTCTTAGCAGTGCTATTATCATTTCTATTATTAAGCTCCCTAAAGGGATGAGAAGTATTTTCTTGCTTTTCACTTAGCTTACTTAATGGAGCTACATTACTGTACTCTCTGGTGCAAATAGCCCCTCTTCAAAGTACAAATTTGCAATAAAATTAAATGGATAATTTTCTTGAAATGTCTTGCAGGTTCGTTTTTGCAGGGAGCAGAGAAATCCATATCCCTGGTTCAAGGAGGGAGGAGTGAGTACGCAGCGGCTTTGGCGTGGGAGAAAGGGAGCTCTGGGCCGGAGGAGAAGGTCTTTTCTGAGTGGTTAGAATCAGTGAAGGAAAACCCTGCTGTGATTGACTTCAAGGTAAGAGGGAAGTATATGTGGGTAAAAGCTGAACTAGTTCTCTAGCCATCCAAATTGCACCTCATACAATCCCTTTTCCATTTTCCTCTCAGATAATAAAGGAAATGTCTGTCTTTACTATGCATGCACCATCTACCTTTTTTCTTCCAATGCTAAATTGCTCATCTATTGCATTTGCTGTTGAAACAAACATTCTGCAGTACAGTATTTATAATTCCTAGCATGCATGAAAAACCAAGGAAGAGAACTTAGTGAATATAAGTGCTCAGACTTGCCTTGACTATTAGCACTCTTCATCTTCCCATGTATACAGTAAATCTGATTTCTGTGTTTTTCTTGCCATTTTATCTGATGAGCACTCCTAAATCTTCATTTATAGCTCTGTGAGATAAATGGGATTTTAGAGCCATTTGGCTTCCTGCTTCTATCATCACTGATTGACTTTACCAGTAGCATATTTGTCATAATTATGTAAAGAGGTCATTTTTATTATTTATGGAATACTTTGCCCACGTATCAGTCATATGTCGTTTAGAATGAATTTTGCCTAAAATATAACCACATAAAAAAGGCCCCCAAAAAGCTATTACGTTCATTTCATTTAAATGAAGAAGGGAGAGTTCAGTCATTGTGAAAGTTTACATGCAGCACTAAGCACACTGAGATCTACAGATTATGGCAGGAAGATGAGATCTAGTCACCCAGCTGGCTACTTGTGAGTCACACCTTGGGCTACATAGTCATCGTTGGGAATTTAAAATATCAGTAAGATGAGCCCTGATTGTTGGTTAGCTCCTTTTTTTTTTTTTTGTCACTATAATTCTTCCATTCATTCTACTGGCAAGTTCATTTCTTCATTATTCCCCACTCCATATCTTCTCATCTGTCTTCACCAAAAGCCGATATTGTCGCTGGAAAACCAGAGAACACTGAAAGCCTTTCTTCCTCAACCACTCTAGATTTTTCTGCTTGAGTTAAACTTAATGAGCTTCAGCAGCGAATTAATGTGCTAAGCCTTGGTCACCTCTCTCACTACTTTAATCAAGCATTTAAGGCTTAATGAATGCATGATGTAAGTCCAAGCAAGTGACACCGCATATAATACTTCCTACACAGTAGGATTTCAGGGCCAGTGAAATTCCAGATACATCATACCTGCCTTAGTTTAAGAACAGCAAAAACCAAACCAAACCCATTGCTCTCAAGTCAGCTCTGACTCATGGCAATCCCATGTGTTACAGAGTAGAACTGAGCACCATGGTTTTTTTTGGGGGGGTG